CTAATACATCCAATACTTTGTGAAATACTATTGGATAAAAGTATAAGATGATTTATGGCAATAGTTACCCCGTTTATTGGAAAATCGCTTATTATCAGAGGTCCTTTGCTTTTAAACTTAGCAATAAAACTCAGTGCATCGAGCATATTTACAAAAGTCTCATGACATAAAACTAAAGTATTTAAAAATGAATTTTTACATAATACACTTTCTGTTTCACATAATTCCCAAAACCCTCTAAGAATATCTATAATTTTAATAAGCTTATGAGCGTGTACGGCGCTGTATAATAAAAACAATTTTTGTACTTTAAGTTTATAATTTTCTTCTGTAACAATTTCATTTTGGGATTCATCTTTTTTTAATAATTCTGCTGCATCGAGTTTCTGTTCGTCGTGATCATATTCAACAACAAATCGAGGCTTCCAAAGATCATCTATATTTTTCCATCCGTCGCGATCTAAAAGTATATTTAAATCTTTAAAGTGATTATCTGATTTGGTTAAACAAACATAGAAATAAATGGCCAATAAATAAAATAAACACTTCTGAAACATTTTTGACTATGAACTAGACTTAAATATTATAGAAATAATTGCTTTTACACCTGTAATTTGATTCAGCCAAGATGATTATAAAAATCAGAATTATATAGTTTTATTTTTACCTCGAATTTACAACATTTATATCTACTGTTTAATTTTGACAAAAATTAAAAGAATATTAAAATAATAAATATTGTCAAAAAAAACTTAAAACCAAAATTATACATTGTATTTATTTTACAAATTTCTTATGATAACATATTGTGTTCTTAAAGTGTATTTATAAAAGTTTGAGTTTACAATATGATTTATATTTGCATTGTCACTGGACCGATTTCTTTTAACAATACGTTAAAAGATCACAAATTGTATCTTGTTGAAGACATTACCCTTAAAAATTGAAAAAAATTCCCTCGTTCCCCGCAAATGGGGGAAAAATCCAAAAAAATTACAAATTTAAAAATCAATAAAAAAAATTTGTCCCGTCACTTTTTCTTCTACATTTAAACGGCTGCCGTAGTTAAAAAAACACTATTTTAGTGTTAAAATTTTCGATTTTTAATTTTCAACTTAAAAATACTATAACTTTTCGAAAAATGTATGTATTAGCACAAATTTTTTTTTTTCTAAATATATTATAAGTACATCTTTCATTTGACATACTTTTTATTAAAATTAGACAATTTCCCCTTATATAGGGGGGTTCAAACTTTGAAACATTGTATAAAAAATAAAACTTTTTCATCTGAACTTTTGAAAATGTTCCGGAAATACTGCGTCCTTTAAACATATATCAAATTAAAGCTTATTTTATGTACTATAAAATGAAAAAAAAAAATTTGTCCCGACACCTTATCTTTTATGCGCAAATGGCTATCGAAATTAAAAAAAAAATGTAATGTTTGCGATAAAAATCACCTTCTATCGGAATGTTTTTTGTACTTAAAACTCCCATAACTTTTTCAAATATTAACTAATCAAAATAATATTTCTTTATATTGAAACCTTAGGTAATTTCTTTTCATTTGATAACATTTTTTTTTGAAAATCTAACACTTATTCTGCTCACAGAGGGGATTTAAAATAGCAACTTTTTTACAAAAACTAACTTTTTCAACTTAATTTTTGAAAATGTTCCGGAAATACTGCGTCCTTTAAACATATATCAAATTAAAGCTTATTTTATGTACTACTAAATGAAAAAAAAAAATTTGTCCCGACGACCTATCTTCTATGCGCAAAAGGCTACCGTATTTAAAAATATGCTATTTTTTATTAAAATTCTAGGTTTTGTATTTTATTTTATTTTAAAATATTTTATTAGGGGAATAAACTGACTTTCATGAATATTATATAATTTCATTGACATAGAATAAAGTTCATAAGACATATGATATTATACTTATTAACATTTTTTACTTTTTTAAAGTCGAAAAAGTAATTTTTAAATTTGAGTTAGCTTAAATAGCCAATTTTATCATGCAACAAAAATCAACGAATAGTTGCCGAATGGGTAACACCTTGATCTTTAACGCCTAGGGTACGAGGTTCAAATCCGTTTGTGGCTTCTAAAATTTTGCATTTTTTTTTTGAGTTAGAATAGAATTTTCAAATCATTTGATATTTATCTCATTTAGATTCAATAATTTCAATAAATATAAAGGATCTTATCACTATAGTCTCCCCTCGTGAGAAGAAATTGATATTCATGTTAATATTATTTTACTATGTGGTTCTTTTTCTGGCTACGATTTATTTTGCCAACCCTCACTAGACCTACTTTTTTCAACGATACGTCAAATGATTCATTTAAGTTTATGATATTTAAGTTAATGATTAGTTTAAGTTATTACTCTTTAAAATCGAAAAAATATTCTTTATTCAAATAAAACGTAGCTTAACCAGCTTTTTCCATACAAACAATTAAAATCATTAATTTTTAATATTCTTAAAGTATTTATTGTCGAATTAGTTTTGATATGATAAAAGTATTCAACTACAAAAGTAAATAATTTTACTTTATAATTTATTAATTTTTTAACTCTATTTGTGTGTGCTACTACCAGTCTATAATATGCCAAATTTTTTTGTAATATGTTGCCATATAAATCATAAATTTAAAAAAAAAATGATTTTTAGTTTCACCTGAATGTAATGATGGATTTTTACAATTATAATTATATTTTTGATAATACGCTCAATTGAGTAAATATTTTTANTTATAATGCGCTCAATTGAGTAAATCTTTTTTACTACTTTGTTTTAGTTCTAAATATTTCAATTGCAGAATCTTTTTAAACACCAAAAGTTATTAGGAAATGATTACTATTCTTTCTATTTCAGTTATCTATTACGATAAAAATGTAAAAAAATCGAATTTTTCTGACAAATGTACTGTAATTAGTAATTATAAAATTTCCAGATTGCATATTAATCTTAAAAATTTCATTTTTTTCAATTTAATAATGTCAATTTCAAACTTGCAAGTTGAACTATAAGTTATGGTAACAAATTCATTTTTTAGCTTCGATGCGAAGCTGAGAAGGTATTTTTCATTAAAACTTTCACTTTAAAAGACAATAAAAAATAGGTTCAAAATGATTACCTTTAACATATTAAAAATCAAAATCAGTATTAATTTAATACAATTTTTTTTGTTCTTAATTATTTTTTTTTATATGTAAATACTTATTTTTTAATAATAAGTAATAATATTAAAACTTAGAAGTAATAGAAAAAGTTTAATTGCACATTTGAAAACATCACGAAAAGTTTATTTAGAAAAGTATATAATTTTTTTTTTTTGATGAAAGTTCCTTTAGTGTATTTATTCATAAGTAACAAAATTTTTTTATTAAAAAGTATTGCATCAATTCCTTTAAATTTGTATACGCATTAAAAGTATATTCATATACAACTCCTCTTTATTTTTATAATCTCTCCGTAAAAATTACAATATTATATTATTGAATACCACTTTCATACTCAATTTAATTACTGTAATTATTATGTATTCATATATTATAGTTATAAATCGGGGTAAAATTAAGGGAATAAGTGTTATTGTTGTTTTTGAAATAATCTACCAATTTCATTTTTTTCTATTTAATAATATTTATTTCAAACTTGCAAGTTGAGTTAAAAGTTATGGTAATAAATTCATTTTTTTTTTATTAAAACTTTCACTTTAAAGAACAAAAAGAAGTAGGTTCAAAATGATTACTTTTAACATATTAAAAATCAATAATAATTTGAAAATAATTAATTATAAAAATTATATAATATATAATTAAAATAATTACTAATCTGGGTATAATTAAGGAAATAGGAGTTGATGTTGGGTTGGGTTGGTTACATTTTTAACTTTATAATGCTATAACTCATTGAAAAGTGTATGAATCAACACAAATTTTTTATAAGAAATAATATTTTTTAATAATCCCTTTTCCATTCGACATTTTTTATCTTAATCAAGATATTAATAAGGAACTAGCAGATCATGTAGCTTTTGGAATATCCACCAATTTTTTAAAATTAAACACTATCTAAAGATTAACATCGAAGCGTTTTTTTTTATAGTAATTTTAATCACTGTCAGATATCATTATACTTGATCCAACTATGCTACGTCACCACTGTGCCGCGACCCCCTTGTGCTGGGTTTTTTTAATTATGTAATTTATTTTCAGGATAAACATAAAGTAACACGAAAACTTTTTATACAAATTTTTATGTTTTCGAAAATGCAAAAACCATTTCTTAACTTTGAATAGATAAAATAATCAAATTAAGTATAAATTTATATTTAATGTTAGTTAGATTCATGCAAATTTTATATTTATTGGCTGACTTTGGCAAACCCTTATAAGGTATTTTAATATAAAATCAAATTTGAACAAAATAATAGTATGTTTTAAAAAAATGGCAGCTATTTGTATAAAGAAGATAAGTCATCGGGACAATTTTTTTATATTTAGTGCCTAATATATTTTAAGTTTTAATTTGACATATGTTTTAGGGACGCAATAATTCGGGAACATTTTCAAAAATTAAGTTGAATTTTGTGAAAAAGTTACTATTTTGAATGCCCTCTTGTGGAGGGATAAGGGTCAGATTTTCAAAAATATCTTAAAAAATAAAAGGGAATTACTTGGTTTTAGAATAAAAAAAAATTACTTTAATTTGTTTTTTTCAATAAGTTATGGCAATTTTTAGAGAAAAAAATGTCAAAATTTATCAATTTTAAAAATCGTAATTTTTTAGTGGAATTGTCTTCAACGATACTGTTTGTGATCTTTTGACGTATCGTTGAAAAAAATCGATCTAGTGAGAGCTGAGAAAAAGTAGTGACAGACACAAAAAAAAAAACGCATCATGGTAAAATGAATATCTTCTCAGCTTCGCTTCGAAGCTAAAATCAATATATTCATTAGCGAAAATAAATTTCTGAATATATAAATGAAATAATCAACTAACCTCTCCCTAATCTTTATTTGTTTAAAAATAATCATAGTACAATGCATAGTTTACATAGTAAATGATTATACATATAAAAATAAAATCAAAGAACTTAGAAAAATTATCTAATTCGTTGCTTGTTAGTAAATAAAACAAAAATTTATTAATAACAGTTCGTAATTATTATATCAATGTACAATCATAATATTTACAATAACCAAACAAATATTTCACTTATTTTACCATTGTATAAATTTTAATAACCAAACACAAGTTTTTATATTTAACCCATCTTCTTTAAAAATGAAAAAAAATTGTATTGATTTCTATTGTTTTATTTAATTAATTAAAAAACACAGAAGGTATACATAAAATTTTTATAATAATTAGTATTTTATTTTGTAGGTATAAATATTAAATCTGTAATTGGTTTATGTTAACTTTTTTGCAGTGTGGTATAATGTATCTACTACTTTGCCCATACTATTTATGTTTTCTAAAACTAGTTCATATGTTTCATCAATTTCTGCTTCTTCAAATACAATTAAAATTCCTTCTCCTTGGTCCAATATTCCATGAAATTTTTTATCCAAAATCATCTGTGACAATTTTCGTTCTACATTTTTCATTGGTAAATCAATTGACTTAGCAATATACTCAACTTGAACTCTAAAATAAATAATTTTTTTTAAAAAAAACTCTTGATAAATCAATCACCTTATATTAAAAATTTAACTAATAGTTACTATATTTAGAAACATTTTTATATAAGTAGAAATATAAAAATTAATACTAAAATATATTAAATAATTATAATTTGAACACAATTATTATTAATTTTATTAGTTGTGGTCATATCATTTATTGACGATAAAAAAAAAAAAAAAANTTCATTTATTTTTATGAATCATAAAAAATATCAACTAAACCTCTTCATAAATTAAAATTTGTACTATATAATAGATAATTTTAAATGTATCCATTATATAAATTAAATTAAAATTGTTGTATTTTAATATTTATATGATATATTATTAAGTACATGTGTAAATAAATTTTTGATCACTTTCACCCACTCAAATTTTAATGCCTTGCTACTAGTTAGAAATAAAGTTTTATGCGATCTTGAATCAAATATAAATATTTATTAAGTAAATACATTTAAAATCAATTTTGATAGAACTTGTTGAAGTGGTTTTTAATGAATATAAAAAAAAATCCAAATTATTTAATTAATACAAATTTAAATAACTTCATTTTTAAAATTAGAGTATTTCTATAGTTTCTAGTAGCAGGACAGTGTATTTACTTGGTATTTTTAGTTAAAATAAATATGTGGGCAAACTGTTAACTTAAAACAAAGTTCTAGATGAAAAAAAAAATTATCTTTATATACCATGTTCATTAGTTTACGTACGCAATTTTAAAAACTCTAAATAAACAAAGTTTAACAAAAATAATTATTTCACATGTTTGATAAATACTTTTTTAATATAAAAGAAACAACTATAAACATTGCTAAAACAAAATTTCAGGGGTTTGAGTACTAAATTAACTTTTACCCCATTCTAAAAAAATTAGAATACAACATATATAGAGTATTCCATTTATCATAAACTACAACAAATAAACAGAAAATAAATATAATATTGAAAAAATAGAGTTGATTATTTTAAATACATATATTTTTTGATTCAATAGCTACTAATAACTTTTTAGAATTATTCCTCATAATTTACATCAGTGTCAACAATTATTATAAATGGCAACTTATATTTTTAACTACCTCATAAAATAAAAAATGATGGTTCAATAACAACTTTTAGTGAATTATAATTAAGGCTTTGAAAATATATTGGTATTTATATAATAAAATACAAATTTCATATTTAAAAAAATATATTTCAACAACAATAATCAATTTTTACCTTGAGTATGGCTCAATTATACGGCACAAATTTTGCTCCAACATATTTCCATACAATGTATCTAAATGAGCCCTAACAATTGGATCTTCTTCCAATTCTTTTTTGTATTCATTCAATCCTGACTGAAATTCAGCTAAAGATCTCTTATGACTTGCTTTTGCTATACTTTTCATTGCTTCTACATCACGACCAGTGTATTTTAAAGCTAATTTTCCACTAACTATTTGTTGTACATCTTCAGCATTATTTAACATTATTTTAGATAAAAGCATATACTTTAAGGCTTTAAGGGCTTTTGATGTACTATCAACACTGTCAAATCCTTCAAAAGCTTCATAAAAATAAGAGTATGCAGTTTTGAAATCTTGCTCATCAGCAGCATGTAAAATTCCAGATTGTAAATCAAGTGATGCTTGCATTTTAGGAGGACAGTAAATTGAATTAGCTGTTGTTCTAGCAGAAGTTAAAGATGCTCTAGCCTTAGATAAATTATTCAAGGCATGATATGCTTTGCTTTCCAACAACAATACATCAACTAATAAATTTTTATCATCTAACTTCTTCAGTTCTTTCAAAAGTGTAGAACCATGTTGTAATGCTTCTTTAAACATCCCTGAATCAAATAATAGAGCCATTAAACGAGCTTCTAAAGATTGTCTTAAGAAAGTTCTTCGCTCTTCTTTGGCCCATTCTATACACTCTTTACATAACTGAAGTTCTATGCCAATTCCAGCTTCCAGATCAAGAAATAGATCAACTAATGAACGAACTAATTTTGCTGCCTTCGCTTTACTAATTTCTGCTAAAAACGGTCTAGTATCTTTAATTAAAGCAGCCAATTCCTTGGCTTTACCTTCTTTTTTCAATAACTCTCCCTGAGACAAAATCATAGCTTCTCGTTCCATAATCCTGTCATGTTCAGTCTCGATTTTTTTCATTCCATAATCGGATGGTTTATTAAGCTGAGCAAACATTGTAGCGCCTGCCATTGTAGCAGATTATTTAAGTTTAACCTTGCAATGTAAATACAATAAGTATAGTACTTTCTAGAATAACAACACTAAACCTTAGAAGTAGAAACTGACAAGCGAATATTCACTAGTAACAAGGTAATAGCATGACCAGCGATTTCCAAAATATTAAGTGTTACCAATACAACTAATTTTTTTATATATATATATATATATATATATACTAACATATTTATTAATTTTTATAATTAAAATTTAATGTTTGAATAAATTAACAGTTAAAAATAAATTTAAACAATTTTTAATAATCCATATAAAATTTTACTAGCATTATGGTATTCACCAGAAGAATATTGGTTGCACTGCATAATGACGCATAAGTAGTAGGAACGGCGGGGTTAAACACTTTGTTTATGATTTTAAGCGTCTTTATTGTTCGGCGAGGCTCCGAGTTCTACCGCTCGGCTTTTTTCGTAAGTATTTGCAGAATACACGTAATTTGACTATTTCTGATTCCTCTTGTTTGATCAATAATTATATACGTTGTTCTCTAACTACAGTCTGCCAGTGGTTTTTGCCACGTCATTCATTTTCATCAAACCGGTGAAATCTAACTTATTTTCCGACACGTGAATTTTGCATAGTCAAAAATGAGCGACGTCGAGGTAAGAATATTTTAATTATACAATATTTAATTATTAAGTAAAAGCTGATTTCTTTAAATTTCAACAATTTAAGTAATCGCGGCATCTAAATTGAAATTATTCTTGTGTTATGCTTATTTTAAGTAATTTTTGTGTTTTTAATGTACAATTACAAGAAATTGAGGTTATGTTCATTAACTTCAGTTTACAGTTTTTAAATAGTTTAACGCTGTTATAATTTATTGTAGGATCGGAATGGTCATTCTAAATCTCGTTCTGCTTCACCTAGCCGTAGTCGTAGTAGATCAGTAAGTGAACGCAAGTCACGTAGTCGATCTCCTACTCGATCTAAAACCCGCTCTAGATCAGTAACACCTCCTCCTAGCAGAAATGGAAGTAAATATAAAAGCCGTTCAAAACATTCATATTCCAAATCTCGCTCAAGATCTCGATCTTATTCAGGAGAAAGAAAACGTAGTTATCGTAGCCATTCACGTGGATCAGGATCTAGACGTGGCAGACATGTAATTTAAATTTTGTAATGTTTACATATGTAGTATTATATTTTAAATGTATGGATTGTAAAGTTATATTTGATTTTAATAATTTGTTAGTTTACTTTAAAAATCTATACAATTGCAATTTATTTAACATGTTAAATATTTATATATTTTTTTAAAAAAGATAAAAAGTTATTAAATTTTTAGGAAAATCCAAAACCAAATAAGTGCTTAGGAATTTTTGGCTTAAGTGTTTACACTACTGAACATCAGTTGTATGATATATTTTCCAAGTATGGATCCATAGATAAAATATTGATCATTATAGATGCTAAAGTAAATACCCAATTAATAATTAAATACGTTTTTTTAATATAATAAAATGGAATTTATAAAATTTAGAGTGGCCGATCACGAGGATTTGGTTTTGCCTATTTTAAAAAACATGAAGATGCTAAAATAGCAAAAGAAGAATGTTCTGGAATGGAAATTGATGGTCGTCGAATTCGTGTAGACTTCTCTATTACACAACGTCCACATACTCCTACACCAGGAATCTACATGGGCAGACCTACGTAAATATTATATCAATTATTTTGGTAAATTTCCTTTTACTAATGACTTGTTTTATCAATTCAATTTTAGAATGAGAGAAGAAAGATCATCCAGAAGAAGAGGTTATGATAGATACGATAGATACGATAGGGACAGATATGACCGAGACAGATATGATAGGTATGATAGAGATAGGGATTATGAGTGAGTATCGCCTCATTCTTGGTTCAACTTCATTTCTATGAAGTTCCTAATACCTTAACCAAATAATATTAACAGTGATTATTATGATGGTGGATACAGAGGAGGTGGTGGCCGTGGACATTACAGGGATAGAAGATCTCCATCACCATATTACAAGAGCAGATCGCGTTATGAAAGATCACGTTCCCGTTCATACTCTCCACGTAAGTCTCAAATTTAATTTAAAAAAGAATTTGTTTACAATCTTTGAATTTAGGACCCTTATCCCCTGTTTTGTTTTGTTTTTAAGGTTTTCTGGTTAATTTTGTTATCTTGTCGTTTTTTTTTTTTTTTTTTTTTGGCTGTTTAGTTTTTTCTTTTTGATTTTTCGGGTTTTAAACATTAAATTCAATCAAAATACTATCCATTTAATTTATTACTTAATATAGTTTTTCAGCTTTCAAAGTATTTAATCAAGATTTCCTACATATTCAATTTTTTAATCATTTCCTGAAGAACATATTTGAAGAAAAGAAAATATTTCAATTTGTCAAGATAATAATAAATTAATTGACTTGAAGACTTCTCAAATTCATTGTTAGAACTTTTACATATATTTCTTAAACAAACCAAAAACAAAACAAAAATAATATATATAAAAGAAGACTCTTCCATTGCAAAAGTAGAACACTTGAAGACCCATTATGACCCACTGAGTAGATATTGATAGACATTGATGAAGATCTTGAAGTTTAGTCAAGAAAATTAACAGTTCTTGCTACTAAATACAGAGGTAAATTTATGGAACAGTGTAAATTTCCTCTAAAAATGTTAGCCTCTCATTTTCTAAAATCATTTATTAGTCATTTTCAATCAGTTTCTTCAGGCATAATTTCAATATGATTTATAGAAGTTCTTCATTTCTTAAATTTGAATCAGTTGCATTGATGTAGACAAATTTTTTCATCAAAATATGTTCAAATAACTTATTAATTTCAGAAATTCGTTTATATCAGTTAATATGTAGGATAAATTCTCTATGTTGATATGATTCAAGCTAAATCTTCATGTTCCTCCCTCACCTAAATTACTATAAACTCAAATTGGAAGTTGCTCACACTAAAAGACTTGTTACCTAACAAATTATATGTATATATATTATTACACGGGGATAAGGTTTCTCTACTATTTTAAATTAAATTTATTAATTAATTTAATAATATTATTTAATTAATTTAATTCATGTAATCATACATGAATCGTTAATTAATGATAATTTACTGAAAACTAAAGATACAAATTTTACATAAAAATAATCTTGATACATTTACCAATATAATGGTAAAAATTATCAAGTTGCTATGCTATTAATTTTAATAACAATTAATATATTGTATTTGTAACTTGGCCCACCATTTAAGGTTTTGTTATATTTTTATACTAGTTAAAATCAATACATTTGTTTAATAATTACATACCTTTTTGGCATGTTTTTTTCATAAAACGTGATATAATTAGTGACTTCCCAAATATATCTTGAACTTTGATAAAAATATATATCAGTCAAACTAATAATATCCCAAGAATATCATAATTTGCAGCATATTTAAAAATAAATTTATTTGTGTTATAATATAAACTAAAAAATAATAATGAAATGTATGCTTAAAACAAGTATTTTACTTTTCTATCTTATTTTTTCTATTAGTTATAATATTTAAAAAAATAGTTCATCCTAATATATAATCTAGATATTTCGTGTTTTTATAAAATAATTCAAGTTTTTATTATAACTATTTAATCTCAATAAAATTTCCTATTTATTATCTATAGAATATTATACCAATAACCTATTCTTTTTTTAATGCGATTCATATTTTTATTTATTATATATTTAATTATAGAATTTGAAAATTTAACTTTAAAATAATAACTAGCATGATGTCTTAATATTTAAATTTTTTTAATGTAATTTATTTCATCACTTTTTTACGTTTGTAAGAATGTGAGGCCATTCTTGTAACATACTCCTTATACAAAATAAATTTTGTAGGGATTTCCACCAATCTATGAATGACATTTTTTTTAATTTATGTTACCTTTCACATTTTGTAATATCAGTCAAATTATTTAAACATAATCCTGTAATGATAAGTAGAATAAGGAAAATGCAGTATTGGCATAATAAAAAATGTGTAAATATTTAATAACGGCTATAAAAATTGTCAGGCATACGAAAAGTTAAGTTACTTATAAGTATACTATAGGATAACATTATCACATTACTGAATTGACACCACACATGGTCCAATAATGCTTTTGTGAGAGTTAACAAGTATTAAATATTTAATAATGCTCATCTAATATTATTTGATCTAAGAGGTTATGTTACACCACATTGAGCCGTAAAATGTTACTTCAAAAAAAAAAAAATATTGACATTTGGCATCAATTTAAATAAAATAAGTAATAATTAACATGCCACTAAAAATTAAACTAATAATTTTTAGCTTTTGAAAAAGTATTTAATTGATAGTTAAATAATTTCACTCATTAATGTGCAAGTTAGAGTTTATTTTTCCATGAACTTTAAATAAACTTGTTTTAATGTAAAGTTCATGTTACATGTTGTGTTCAGTAAGTAAGGAAATGAGTTTCCATTGTTCTCATTATTAGTAACAATTCACTTGTGTTCTTACTTACTGAACATTTTGTATATTATTTATATTCTGCGTAATAATTAGTATTAACTCAATTTTTTATTTTGTTGCTAATAACAGTTAAGTTTTAGGTATCAACTTAAAGTATGCATGTGCTTATTAAAAAATGTTCAATAATATAAATTTGATATACATCTCATTTTCTAGAATAAAAAATCATGTGACCGATGCATGCTACTTTTAGTGTCAATCTAAAGTATAATTGGTGAATTTTAATAAGGTTTTTTATTTATGAAATAGTAAATGGGAAATTCTTAATATATATTATTTATATCGAATTGGTAATTTGGTAGTCATTATTTTCTATAAACTTCATTAATAATTGTTTATATTTGTACAAGAAAAATCATGTACAAGTTTTAATTACATTTTATTTTGACTCATAATAATACTTCTTATTAAGTTCAATTCTAAATTTATTTAAAATATTTTTACTGGCATCCAAGTCTTAAATTTTACATTTGTAGGTGTATGTGTAGTGTTATTATTATTAGTTACACTAAGTCAATTTTGTGTTAGTCTATCTTGATTAACATTTTTGACACATGTACACGTTGCAAATTTTCAAGTTTTTAAACAAAAACAATATTGGAAATATAATTATAATAATATTAATTCTGTATTATAATAGTTCTAATACAGTATATTTTTTTTTAAATCATCACAGGTCGTTATTAAAAGCTAATGATGAGCTGATGGATTACCACCATGGAATAAAGTTAACTTTATTATGGAGAACTAAAGAATACAATTTTTAATACCCCATATTATTTCTTTTCTTTTTTTTATAAATATTAAATTCGTTTTATAACAATTAAACTATGTAAATTAGACTTGACGTACTGTTAAAGTATTTTAATTGATTTTTTTTTATTGTATAGGCATTTTGTGTTTTTCTTTACTAATTATTACAATGTATTTGTATTTTCATTTGTTCTGCAAAGGTGCGGAAAAAGTATAAGACAATTTTTCTTTGAAGACTAGGGATTACAATGTAATTAAGAAGAACTTTTTCAAGGCTGATGAAGCAAACAAGATTGAAAATGCTTAATTAAATTTAATAATAATAACATAAAAATGGTGTTGCAATTTTTAGTTTTTCACATTCTTTAGGTACACATAAATACTCCTGCCTACTGTATTTGGTAATATTAAATAAAAATATGTGTGTAAATATTTTTAATTTTTAATTTGTTTGATTCATGTTTGTTTGCCTTACTTGATTTGTAAAAGGTAAGCAGATTTAGTGCATAATAAAAACTTTTCAACGTCTAACATTTTTATTATTATACATAAGATATATGATCATTCTCATAAATTATGTAATATTATTCAATTAAAATATGAGTTACTTCTATTAAAAATTATCGACTCTAAGCGTTTACCCTATTATTATGAACGTATTCAAGTTGATAGTTAATGAGTATGGCTAAGCTCTCTAGAGTATTGTAAATACTTATAGATAAATGTATTTTAAATATTTTATAGTATAGCATTTACTGACTAAACTTGTTAAACCATTGATTCCTTAAATAATGAAAATTGTTATCTTTCCAACAAATAAGCTTAATGTTTTGTGGTATCTGAAGAGAATGGAAAAAATTGAACCTCCTAGGCAGATGGTAACAATTGTTATAACTTAATATTGACTAATTATTAGTATATAGAATTTTCATTTATTTTTTTTTTATAAATTGGGTAAATTATTAAATAAAAGTACATTTTAAATTTGATTTGCAAGCGTTAGGCAATTTGGAATAAAAGAATTAGATTCACAACTAAGAATTAGTAGCTTAAACTTTTTAAATCCTCAGAAATTCATTTTGTTGTAAACAAAAAAAAAAGTATTTTCAAAATAAATAAATTTTTATTTATTTATTAAATTACGTCAAGGAATGAACCAGTGTAGTATTTGCGGGTTTCAAATGCTGAGGTTATTGTGTCGGACAACCTATAAATTTGATGTATCGTTGAGTGTCTCGTGGGAATCCAAACTGAGTGTTCAAGTAAAATGTGGTGTTCTTGTAATATTAGCATTTTAGCAATATTATCATTTTGAGTAGAAATTTTTCAAATAGTTTGCTTAATGTGGGTACAGGCTGATCGGTTTATATGATGCTACCATGTTTTTTGGTTTTCCTGGTTTAGGTGTAAGGATTATTACGGCTTCGTAATTTTTTAATAGTTGCTTCAATTTCTCTAGGACTGAATGGTTTAATAGGAAACATAGTTAGAGGACATGAAATAAAATCATTAACCATATTAATATGATTAGAGTTGGGCTAAATGTCTTCATGTGATTTAAATGTATAATATACATATTCAACAAAAATCGTAGCTTTCTCTTCATCTATATAGCAAGGATACAGTTATCATTTCGAAGATGGGGGGTAATCTCTTTGGTTTGGGTCAATCGTTTTGTAGCTCTCCAAAATAATTTATCCTCAAGCGTCGAGTGATGGAATGTAGTTTTAATATTGAATTGATTTGAATTTTAGAAGTTAGTATTTTAGGTTATTAGCTAGTTTGTTGTAAAGTTATTTAAATGAGTGATATAATGTATTTTGCCATATGCCTCTAACTCTTCTTTTCTCACTGATAAGAGATCATATATGAACTGGTAGTTTTTCTTCATTTTTACAGTTGCTCTTGTTTAATGAAGATGAATTACTTATTGAGCTTTTAATTAGTGAAACAATATTTTGAGCCGCGTTTTCAACGTCGTCATTGGTTTTGAGTAGAATTTCCAGATTAATTTTTTTAACTAACTCAATTTTAAATTTATCCTAGTTAATAGGTCTTATTGTATTAAAGGAAATCTCACCACCAATAGTTAGTATAATGGGTGAGCAGTCACTGAAAATTTTAAAAATATTTTTTATACTTGAACTTGGCTGGCTTGGGATATTTGTTGAGGATAAAAATCCTCTAACAACAATTGCTACGAATACAAGGTTACAAAAATTTGGATTTTTCTACGACGATGAATACTCCGAATAGAACTAATAATTGATTGCTCCGAATATCGATTGAAAAATTATCAAATTTCGGAGTAAATGAATATCGTAACAATATTTATCTGATGGAAAAATATAACCCTTATCACTAATTAATATAATAAAATAGCGTTATAATTGATTACTGTCCATTAACGAATAATTATTACAATAAAGGTCCTCATTACAATAAAAGGCAAGGAAGGCTTTGAACTAGAACAACCCCAGTTATATAACTAGTGTGAGCCCTTAAATTTTTTTTTTTTTTGGAGGGGAAAGAAGAGCGATTCCAATTTTCAGACGTAAAATCTTTTTTGCCTCTCCTTATTATTGCTTATTATAAATGTATAATGTTTGAACTCTTTTAAGGAAGAAACCTAAAAAATATTTAACCATTTATAAATCGAAAATTAATAATAATAAATCAATAATAACATTTTAGCTTCGATGCGAAGCTGAGAAGGTATTGGTTTTACTAAGATGTGTTTTTTTTTTTTTTTTTTTTTTTTTTTTTT